CTAAAAAAGCCAATGAGATTCTATGATGTATCGACAGGAGTATAGTGTCAATAACGAGGGAAGTCATAGTCCTACTCTCTTCTGCTTTGGTCAGATCTCACCTCAAATAGCCCAGCATCCAGTTTTGGGCACCACAATTCAAGGAGGATGTGGACAAACTGGAATGTGTGCAGAAAAGAGCAAGCAAAATAATCAAAAGTTTGGAAGCCAAGTCCTATAAGGAATGGCTTAAGGAACTGGATATCTTTCACTTTGAAAAAAGAAGGCTGAGACAGAGCTATGTTTAAATATTTGAAAGGATGTTACATTGAGAAGGGGTCAGGCTTGCTTTCTGCTGCTTTGGAGGCTACAACACAGAACAACAGATTCAAACTGGAAGGGAAAAAAGATTCCACCTAAACATTAGGAAGGACTTCGTAGTGGTAAGATCTGTTTGGCAATGGAATATGCTGCCTTCTCAGAGCGTTGCGGAGTCTCCTTCTCTGGAGGCTTTTAAACAGAGACTGGATGGCCATCTGTCAGGGTACTTTGATTGTGTGTTCCTGTATGGCACAATGCAGTTATACTGGGTAGCCCTTGTGGTGTCTTCTAGCCCTATGATTTTTAATTATTTTGGGTTATAAATCATGAATTTTATTTATATTCTGCTTTATCTCCCTGAGGGGACTCAGAGTGGATTACAGTATACACATGTATAGGCAAACATTCAATGCCTTTAATAAAGTAAACAACCATGGCATACAATGTACAAACAAAGGCAAAGGTTTCCCTTTCCATCTCCGACGTCTGAAGGGAGTGCTCAAGTTCCATTTTCCATGCCGAGGAGCCTGTTGCCCATAGACCCCCTCTGCAAGGGCACCTTTTACCTTCCCGCCAATGTAGTACCGATTGATCTATTCACTTGCATGTTTTCGAACTGCTAGGTTGACAGAAGCTATATTTATTTATTATTTTACTTCATTTATATACCACTTTTCTCAGCCCTTGGGTGACTCAAAGCAGTTAGGCTAACAGTGGGAGCTCATCCCGACCCACAGCTTCAAATTGCCGAACTTCCGGTCGGCAAGTTTTTCTGCAGCTAGAAGTTTAACACACTGTGCTTCCACAACCCTATATATGTGAGAAATATAATTGTAAATCCGTACAAGAAAGATGCTTAGTATGTCCCTTGCTCTGCTGATTTCTGGAGGAAAAGGGGACATGATGCCTTCAAAATATTTACTGATTATTTCATTTATTAAAAGATTTCTATCCCACCCTATAGCCAAAGTTATCAGGGCAACATACAATGAAATTCCATTTTGAACTGTTTGAAAAAAATAAGAACAATTTAAAAAGACTCTTTTAAAAGTATAGTATGCCACTTAACACTTAAAACAAGGCAATATAAATTAGCTAAAACAGTTTAAAATAAGGTAAACCATAGCACATATCCAAATTGGATAAAATCAATTAGCTTCCAAAGACTTTAATAAAAGATACTCATTTTAACTTGGTGTCTGATTGATACCAGTGTTGGTACCTCTGACTGGAATAATACTGGCAACCAGTGTAATTTCTTTAAAACCATTATTGTTGTTGTTGTTGTTGTTACTGTTATTGTTGTTATTATTATTCTGTATGTTATGCCAGTCAGAAGCCTATGTGTTGTATTTTCCAGTCTAATTGCAAAGCTATTGCCTCATTACAAAGTGAGCTACTGTGGCTCTGAATACACACCAAATGTCAGTCTGACCTATAGACATGTATCAAATGCCATACTGATCTGAACTAACCCGTTGCATTAAAAGAAACTGACAAAATTTAAGAACAGAACACTTGACAGGTCATCTAACTCACAAAAAGTCCCATTCACTCAATGAGTAATCTGCACACAAAACTTATAATTACACATTCTTTTGCCATCCTTTCATACCCTCAAATATATTACACTTGGATTTTGTTGTTTCGGTAGTCTTTTCTCTATGTTAATAAATTGATTCAGAGGCTAGTTGGAGTACTATTCCTCCACTGAGTCACAATTCCAAAGAGCCTTTCAAAACACTTGAAGAATCATTTCAGACATCTTTCGATTCTTCCTTCTACAAAAAGAAGATTTGGCTGTTTATTTGCAGCTGCTGCCGTACCCCTCATTCTTGGATTTCATAAACCTGAAGTCATACTAGCAATGGCAGAGAGAGATAAACAGAACAGGCAGATGGTAACAAAGACAAACACAATTCAGAATGAGTTTCATCCGCTTCCTTGGTATTGTTCTAAGCATCCTACTCCACGGGGAAACCAGCTACTATCTTTATATATGCAACAATGAAACTTTGCTTTCCTACAACCCAGTAGTCTTAATAATTGTATACATTCAAGTCCTAGCTAGGAATAGCATCATACTACAAAATTAGCAACATTTAAGTGTCTTTCCATGTTCCATTTCATTCACAGAGAGGAGGAGGTTAAAGGTAATAGATCTACAATTTGCCCCACTAAGTCTGTGACATTCTCAGAGTTCCTGAGACTTTAATGAGATCTGTGAAAATTAAGTGATGCAGAATATCCATGGGCTGTATTTCATCTCACTTCAGTGCTTTGTCAGCTCTCTTCATTGTTCTAATTCTGCCAGCTACTCAGGTATCAGAATGATCTACTATCCTTTTTTGCCTCTGTGGAAGATTTACTACAATTCAAGATATAATAATAAAGCTGCTCGAAGGGAGATGTCCTTCCACAATTATACCAACAGCTACCTGCTCACCATTGAGTCTATCTATTTGTTTATCATATATAAAAAGAACCACCTTGCCTCACTATCGGAAGGCACATTTTCTTTCCCTACTCTGTAACTTGTTCAGCAGTACTTTAGTGAGGTGCTAATAAAAGATACCAAATCACTGCTGTTAAAGGTTTTTATTTAATAAATGTCAAAAATATTAAAGCTATATGTCTTTCTTTCAAAAAGAACCTTTTCTCTTAAATACTCTTCACATTCGTAAAGGATTAACTCTTCTTAACAGGTTACTTCTGTGCCTCAAACCTTCATCTCAAATACCATACATAGATACAGAACAAGTATCCAAATAGGTAAGTACCACTGTCCTAAAAAAGGCAGACAAGATGTTTCCTTTTTTGGACAACATGGATTCAAAGTATTAAAGGTTTTCAGAAGGTGATGAAAATCCAAAGGCTAAGTGCAACATTAGCCCTGCCTAGAATAGAACCTCTGAAATGCATGGAACTTATTAGTCGCAAAGGGTCTGTTTTGGTAGGACAAACATTGGATTAAGCTTCCAGTTGGTGGTTGTTACCTATATATGAACTAGGTGTATTAAAACACTAGGCTGAATTGGTATGTTTTTAAGTACAACAAATAAATTGTGGCTGAAGCCGCTCTGAGTCCCCCTTGAAGGGTGAGAAGGGTGGGATAGAAATGTCTGAAATAAATAAATAAATAAATAAAATCTTGTTGTAATCTGTATCCAGTCAACTTTGATTTATGGTGACCCTATGAATGAGAGACCTCCAAATTGACTTATCACCCAACACCCTGCTCAGGTCTTGTAAATTCAGAGCTCTGGTTTCCATCTGGAGTGTGGGTGGTCATCTGTTTTTCCTCCTGGCTTCTATCATATGAAGCATATAGCCTTACTTATCTTTTCTAATGAGCCATGCATAAGATATAGCCAACGTATGGTCAAAGTATGACAATACGGCCAAAGTATGATAATGTCAGTTTAATCATCATGACTTCTAGGAAAACAAACCTTGAATAAGCCTTTGGCCTATAAAGCCCTTTATGGTTCCGGCTCAGCTTACTTATCCTAACATATCTCCCTCTATGATCCACCTCAGAGGCCCTGCTCTTGATCCTGCCACTCTCAAAAGTGCAATTGGTGGGGACGAGAGACAGGGCCTTCTCTGTGATGGTTCCTCATCTGTGGAACTCACTCCTTAATGAAATCAGGTTGGCCCCCTCTCTGCTATTCTTTACGAAAAAACTGAAATCATGGTTGTGGGACCAAGCATTCGAGCAGCAGACGCAGCAATAATACTGTAAATTACTTATGTAACTGACAATGGACAGATATCAGATTACCACTCTGGATTTGAATTTGGTTAATTTTTAAATGGAAATTTATAATTTGAGGTTTTTAACTAATGTTTTAAATGTTTTATTACTATTGTTTGTTTGGCATCTAATGGTTACTGTTGTTTGTTTAGCATCTAATGTGAGCCACCCTGAGTCCCCCCTCCCTCCCCAGGGGTGAGAAGGATGGCATATAAATGTCTGAAATTTTTCCTACTTCCAACAGACTTCACTACCTCTGAGGATGCTTGCCATAGATGCAGGCGAAACGTCAGGAGAAAAATTGCCTCCAGAACATGGCCATATAGCCCAGAAAAACCTACAACAACCCAATAAAAATAATACTGCAGGGCCGATTTTAGTAGTCTACAATGTAAAACTCTTCTCAAGCACAAAATCTCAAACAAGTTGATTATCTTATCAGCTGTTCCAAGAATTCCACATAACATAATAACTAACCCATACAACCTGATATTGTGTTAGTGTCCAATGATTGCTTTGGAAAGGATGAAGAAAGCAGAACTCCCAATGGTGACTAATCAATATAGGGAACTTGACCAGAAATACATTCAGGAAGTTTGAATATGTTTCACGAGCAGAATGTGGCAGCCAAATGTCTCTGTTACAAATACACTTATGATCAAAACAGGAATCACACTAAAGATAAACAAAATCCTTCAGAGAATTCACTGATGTCCACACAGGAGGGAATAACCTGTACCCAAACATTTTCAGCATATTATTAGAATTAAACCGAATTAAACTGAATGAAACTTGCATACAGTGAGGTTATTGTGATTACAAACAGGAGACAAAATCATTTACATAGAAGCATTTTGATACCACATATACGTTTCCAGATAAGGAAAGTTAAGACATCTTATAGGAAAAAATGAGCAAACAAAAATCTTTGAATTTCACTTACTTTTATTGTAGCAGGTTGCTAGTACCCCTTTATCAGCCGGACTGGCACTTATGTGCCAAATTTCACCAACTTGATGCAGAAGAACATTTTTGTTGATAATATTATTTTCATCATCAAAATCAATGATGTGAATCTACAAACAGAACACAAAAACATTAAGGTTTCATTTCTTCAGAGTAACTGAATTATACAGAAGAATTTCATGAAAGCAGCATAAGTTTTTGTTTTATAAAGATGAGTACCCAATAATAACAGGGAAAATATTTGGAATATAGACCCAGAAATATCTGATACTGCATGTTACAAAAAATCCAAATTCAACAGCAAAAAGAAAAGGGAGAAAGTGTTTTCAAAAAATTATGCATTTCCATTGAAAATATATTATTTGTACTGAAATAGGTCTAATCTACAACCCTTTCGCATCACACAATTATGATGCATTATTGTACTTAAATTGCCACAATTCCATCCTGTGGTATGTTGTCTGGTGAGGCATTAGAGTATTTTTGTCTGAGAATTAAAAATAACCATTGGTAAACTGCAAATCCGAATATACTAGAGGACATTGTCACAGCAGTTAAAGTGGAATCATAGAACTATAATTGTGTACAGGCAATCCCCGAATTACAAACATTGGCTCATTGTTAAGAACAGTGGTGAGACCAATCTACCTCTAGGAAGGGAAATTCACTCCTGAATGAGTTATCATGGGGGAAAGGTGTCTCCACTGAAGTTTTATCACCAATCCTTGTTTCTACAACAAGCCATTTTTTTCCAAAATCCAATTACTATCACAAGGACAGAAAGTAATAATAATAATAATAATAATAATAATAATAATAATAATAACTTTGCTTTTGTATCCCACCGCCTCCACCTCCCCGAAGGGACATGGGGCCTAACCCGATCAACACCATTAAAATTAACACATTAAAATGCAAACAACAGTATAAAACAAAATGAAGCAACATCATCATAACAATATATAAAACAGGAATCAAGTGAGGAAAAATCTTCTGAAGGATACAGACAGCAAAACAACCCTTCCTTATGCTATCCAAGCTAAGGAATACATATATTTGGCTGGGGTTACACTTTAAAAATATACCTGTTTTGACTTATATATACCTTCAACTTAAGAACAAACATACAGAACCTATCTTGTTTGTAACTTGGTGACTGCCTGTAATGTGAAAATAGCCCTAAGGCCTAGACAAATGGGGTAGAGTGATACAGCATGGCTCTTGAATTTCCATCTATTGTTTTTGGTATTGCTGACACCCATTGAGAAAATGAGATCATGATTGTGCCTTGTATCTGAGATCTGCAATATGATCCCATAAGCATTCCTGTAGACCTTTCCTTTACTATGTCACCTGACATTTATTTTGTGTTTTTTTTTAATATATATATAATAAAAAAAAACCTAGGAAGTCAAAATGCTGCAAAACAAAGTATCAAGCCATCTTTTGAAATATTCCTTTGTCAAACCAAGCGGTTTCAGGAGTAGCATGCATCTTGCATGCGTATGCAGCACATACCTGGGTTTCTGGCCCGAAGATAAATATTTTGCATGCAGATTTCCCCTGTAATATGCAAATGCTGCAAAAGGTGAGGTATGTTTTTCATGGCTATTCTTCTAAGCATCAGCAATTTGCTTTCTGTGGTATGGATATATTGTGCTTTGTGAAGGCAAATATGTCTGTTGATGTTTTAGGCTTCAATACAATCTCTTTGCTTTCTTGGACCTGTTATTTGTCTCTCCGCATCAGTCATTTGTCTTCTCTGAAATCAGTGCTTGAGTGGAAACCGTACCTTTGAAGATGTGACTATAGATTAAGAGCTCAGATTGCACCTCTTCTGATACTCTTAGATGAGTTATTCTTCTTTTAGCCTTGCCAGTTTACTTTATGGAATCACTGATAAACTATCACTCCCTTGTACGAGAAACAGTTTCTATAGATCTAGAAAGATTTCTTCAACCTCTCTTACCCTAGACGTTGATCTGGTTCAGTACTGTCTAGGAACTCTCCATCATCTTTCTAAAACCTTTTCCATCCAGAATCAACATGCTTTTATCACTAAAATATAGCCCTAAGAAGTTCCTTCAGTCCAATAGTTACTTCCAAGTGCTCTAATTAAGAACACAGAATTCCTCTAGTTTTCTACCAATATTTTACAATATTAACTCATTTTTCTCCACCTGTCTAATTTCTTCACTTTACAATGATCTTGCCTCCAAGATCCTAATGAAATGAAAATAATTTGTTTTATTATGATTTCTTATAAATGAAAAACATGGAATTGTTGTCTAAGAACAAAATAGAGAAAATCTGTATTTCTGGTCAATGCCTTATACACAAGTATTAATGCTTAAAATGCTTCAAAATTACTTGTTTTTTCTGAGTAGGCCACATGGGATCTGTTTATGCACTCAACTCTACTGAGATAAACCCCTTAACTCATTTCCCTCTCCAAACTGCGAACATAATAAGAGGCCAAAGCAAGCTGGAAGCCAGAAGAGCATCCAGAGACCGATGTTCTTTCAAGCTCGTTGTACAATGTCAGCCTAAACAGGATGCCTACAATATAAAACCCTCCTTCAGTGCTTAGTCTGAACAGAACACTTTTAAAAAACATACACACATACACAATCTTTGCTGGAGCGGCACAGAGAAAATTGTACCAGGCTAGCTAGCTGCTTCACATACTCTCACAGCCTCCTCTAAAAATGGGAAGCCTCATGTTGAAATTATGAAGTAGTCTCCTTGGTAGTGAAATTGATTCCCTAAAGGTGAGCCACAAATCAAAATTCAATTTGCTCCACCAACATGTATTATATGCCCCTACTAACCATATAAAGAGGGTCATTCAGCACATAAAGTAGAAGTGCCTTCTGCCCTATCTCAGGTCCCTCAAAGTCAGACATAGCTGCTCTTTTCTCTCTACTGAGATGATTCAGAACCACATCAGGCCCTAAGGACAAGTGTTATTAAATATAGTATGTCACCGTTTCCAGAGGATTTTTTATTATCATTATTATTATTTTTCTGCCCCTTCTGATGGGGAGACATGGGGAGCGCTGAAGGTGAAATGAGATGAGGTGTCACAACAAAGGTTCTGAAGGTTCATCAGCAAACTTCTGTAGGAAGTAAGTCAAACATTCAGTTTCCTGGGACAAGATTTTCTTTAAGTGATTACTTACAGGCCTCACTTTTGGCACTTCCTTCTAAAGTTAACATACGTTGTGAATTCATTTTGCCCTTCGTTTAGGTATTCCTCACAATATCCATGAGTCTCTCAAAATAGGTTTAAGATTTGTTTGGGACCAAATTCCAGTGTAGGAAACACATGCCTGAGTCCACACAGGAGAGCTGTTGATTTAACGTACATTCTTTAGCAAGTTTCCCAGGGAAGAAAAAGTGAGTAGGGGAGAAATAGCAGTAAGACAAGACTCAGAGAAGACTTTTGGAATTCACAGAAATTGAAGTTACATTAAATGGGGAAAATGGGGTACAGAGTTGTAAGAATATTCCCAGAAAACACTATGAAATATGAACCCATTTTATGTGGAAGATACTTTCCTGATAATTACAATGGAAACAGGAAACCTGCTCTCGGTCCTACCTTCTTTGCAAGCACGGTTAGTGGGGACGAGAGACAGGCCCTTCTCAGTGGTGCTCCCTCTGTTGTGGAACTCTCTCCCTAGTGATATCTGGCAGCCCCCTCCATCTTAGTGTTTAGAAACAGAGTCAAAACCTGGCTCTGGGAGCAAGCATTCGAAAAACTGAGCAGTGCAGCAATGGAGTATGTGCAATTTGACTAAGGATTGGCCTTTAGACTACGACTCTGGACGACATGATTCATTGAAATGTATTTTTATTATGCTTATTATGTTTTAATTTTTAACTTATGTTTAAATGATATTGTATGTTTAAGGCACCGTAGAGGTAAGCCACATTGAGTCCCCCTCGAGGTAGAGAAAGGTGGGATATAAATAAGATAAATAAATACATAATGAACTCTACTGATAAACAAGAAAATTTCTAGGGAGCACCTATGTCGCTGGTTGCAGATAGGGGAAACCATGGGTGCCAGTCCCTTGAATACAGAGGTTTTACTGTAATTTGTTAGTAGACTACTAGGGACCTCTGTTTGCTTTTGGAACTGCAATTCCCATAAATCCCAATCAGCAAGGCCAATAGTGAGGAATGCTAGAAGTTAAAGTCCCACAATGTATATGTGGTGAGTAGGTGTTATTATTTTCAATCAGCTATCACTGTGACAATCACCAGAGCACCCAAATGAGTATCATTTCTCTTTCAAATTATCCCCTCTCATTCAGATTTCCACTTGAAAAGCAATGCTTGACTGCAGAGCCTTTTTAGCTATACCTGAAATAACCTGATCCTGGAGTAATCTCAGGAAGAGTCTGGTTTTACTAGGCATTTGGAGTTTAGGCTTACAGGATGCAACTAAAGGTCCATCTTTGTTCAGTCCTTTCTACAAAGAGATTTATTATAAGCCACAAAGCTTTGCCACAAAGAATAGTGGAGTAGGAATTTTAATAAACAAAGATATAGTCTCCAGTAATCTACATAAGGCAATGTCTTTCCTTAGGATAACTCAATCCCTTGTATATTGCACACATTTTAAGCCACTGCAATAACTGGGTCTCTCTTTCGTTGACATCAAGAGGAAGAAGTTTCAGCTGAATAATCTGTTATTAGCTCTACTCTCCAGAGGATATATATGACCGCCTTACAAAATGAGAAGAATAATAGACACACTACAACTCGAACCAAGCTAGGCTGGCTGAACTTCACAAATAATGATCTGCGAGTGGTAAAGGAGAATACACTTGAAACTATATCAACTTAACTTCCCAGTGGGATGAACTTTATGGCGAAGCCAAAAAAGGTTCCTGTTCACATGGAAGAAGACTTCTGCAAAGCTGGATTGAACTTTTTGTGTCTTGAATCTGCTCAAAGTTCTAATGCGTTTTAGGAATTTTATAATTTTACATTTTTATAATTTTTTGGCAAAATTCTTATGCGTTGTTGATTGTACTTATGTCATTGTATTTATACTTATGTATTGCCTGTATGTGGCACTTGAAGTGCTTCTGTGAGC